ACGCGCATTTGCTGCCGAGCTTGGTAAGCTTTGCATTGTCGACTCAGCTTTCGGAAGTTAGTTCGTCTTGGGGCAAATTCAATTGGGTAAATGGAATGCGATCCTTGCTCTTTCTGGGACCGCCTCCTTGCTCTTTCCGCAGTAGTTAACCGTCCGGTGCAACTTTCGTGACGCAACTTATTGGCACGAAGGGCATTTGATTTGATTCTTCTTGTCGCAGAGCAAGGTTGCCGAAGTACTGGAAATTTACTTGAGAACCCTGGCTGATTGTATCCTTGCAGCTGAACGGCATTACTTTGTGCAGCCATATACGGTGAACCCAAGCGCTGGTAGATACGCACAGTATCAGTACCCACCGCCAGTGTCTGGAAGTTGCTTGGGAAAGAGGAACTGCGTGTTTCGAGGTTGAAAAGGGCGGGTTCGCTCGACCGTTGGCAGCCGAGTATAGCTGCTCCTTCAAATGAGCCATTTAAGCAAAGAGAGCCAGGTTTCAAACTAGAGCTTGCCCGGCGCTTCGCCGGAGAGACGCAGAGTGGAACTGTTTTTCTGAGTTGTTCTTGGCTGTTAGACAGCCTCGATGTTTTTGAGGGGTGCAGGCAAACATTTTTCTTTCGACGTCGCTTCATTACTCTACGCCATGGCTGCTCTATAGACTTAATGCAAAGCGAGCTTCTCCGAGACGTGCTCGAACTACTGGCGGATCTCCGCGCCTCCTCCGCACTGCTGCACATAACTTTGCGCTTTTCGGCGGTGCTACGGGCCGAATCTGTAATGTATCCTATACAGTGTTCGCAATCCATTGTGTGCACGTGAACTGGTTGGAGTAATTTTTGCGTAGAGGAGTGCCTTGACAAAGACGGAAGGTCTTTGGTGTCGTATTTCGTGGGAAGATATGCCTGTGATTTTGCCATGTTGACCTGGCACGTTTTCCCTCCTCCTCTGCAGCTTAGTTCGATTACTCTGGATGCCTGGTTTACTTCAGTCTCAGGTACGAGCGCAGTTAAAGCCGCAGATCTCTGCCCGTGAATTATGTGCCGTGCATATCCATCAAATGGAACAATCGGTGACCCCTCTAGAATGCTTTTATTAGTGCTAGTTGAGCAACTATCGACAGACATGTTTCCACTGACGAAGAAACTTGAAGAACGATCGCTCAAGTCGGCTACCTGAGCTTCTGCGTTGCTTGCATTCCCCTCAGCTAACACAACTACCCCGCTTTCCGTCGCATCGTTGGAATGAAGCTGGCATTGGAATGGAATTCCAGCTCCCTTCGAGAAAAAAGCAGAATGGGAAGTAGGTCCAGCGCAGGTGGATGCGGAAGAAAAGTCTGACACAATGACAACGGCGGCCGCAGACGCTTTGGCATGCCTCGCATTGTCCAAAAGCCCTATCTCCTCTTTGGCAGCAGCAGGTTGTTTGGTAGGCATATCCGTGAAAAGACCAATCGCTGAGTCCATGACTTCATCTGTGCAACCAATATGAAGCCGGGAATTCTGGTCTGTCGCCGTTTACCAGTGTCTCCACGCCGATATGCTCTGCAGTGTATCGAGTGCAGCACCCGCCCGTATATCCTCACTATGTGCCGCGACCAACAATGCTTGGAGTACCTGATCTACTTCTAAAAAGCAGGGGGGTGTTCTTTCTTTAATTAGCATGGCATCTTCCAGCCCATTACATTTGCACACGCACCGTGTGCAATTCGGTCCTTAGACCCAGGAGCCGCTCCCGCGGGTATTTCGCTCCTTCCACAAGACAAATAAGCGTATCTCATAAATCCAAGTATTCATTCTTAGGCAGGTTTTGTATTTGCATCCTGAACGATAGGTGCAGCCTCCTGTGACACATCAGGCAGCTGGGGGCGGCTTGTGGCATGGGAGGAACTTTGCAGGTCTTCCGCAGAAGCGGAAGCAGAAGTTCAACTTTTGTATAGATTCTAGCAGTTTAATTTGTATGCCTTTCTAGGTAACACCACTCCCAAGTTTTTCACGCGTAGCCTTCGCGGCTCAGCCCGTGTTGAGCGCAACCTGCGGTGACCTCTACATCCGGGTTGATCATGTGCTGTTTACACTCTACAGACTCTCAAGTTTGCATTTACCAGGGTTTTAAATCCAGTGAAATCTCGATATCTCTTAGATTGAAAACCCACACTAGCATTCTTAACCCTTCCAACGTAGCAGAGCGCAGGGTTCCGGGTTTTGTCACGGGCTCCCTACCATGGCTGCCAACTTAGTATCCGTAGGCGTTGGATTTTTCCAAAGATGCCATTCCAATTAAAAATAAGCCTCTGGTGCAGCTTCTACAGGGTTTCAGGGTGGTGGTACTGCGGCCGTCGTCATGTCACTTCTCGTTCCGGCATTCACAGTGTAGCGACTTCTTGGGGGCGTTCCCAGCTCAACACGCTTAATTCACCGTCGTCTAACCCATTCACGGAAAGGAACTTGGTACCGCATCTATCCCCCATTCTTCCTTCTGCTGAGCTTAGGGAAAAGAGTAGCGCGCTAAAATTTAGATCAACGCGGCAGAGGAAACGAGACCAGCTGAGCTAACCAATACCCTGAAGGACTTCAGCTAATGCCAGCGCATGAGGAGTGTATTTGCCCCGTATAACAACTTTTATTCCGGAAGGGAACGTTTAGTTTGGGAATAAAGGTGGAAGGGACGAGAGCTGGATACTTGCCGGGCGGAAGCTTCCGATGAATTTGGGGCATCGGTTAGTCAGTCTCGGTTTTTATGTCATGCTAGTCTGAATTCTAAGCACATACTACTTTTTCTGGGCTCTACGGGATGGTGGAGGCCGAATAGGTTGGGTAAATAGGCTCCGGACGTAGCGATGTCGCTTCACGTTTCATTAGTGATACTGCGATGACGTAATATTGTTGCACGACACAAGGCTGAGCTCCTCCGAGGCCGCAACTGCGCCACCAAAGAAAAAGGCCAAATATCACTTGTCTGATTTGTGTCTGTGTGGTGCTACTGTGAGAAAATAACTAAACAAATCAAAGAAAATCGTTCAATAGAAGCTGTATCGTTGGAGTCACTTGTGGGAGACGAGCATCTGCCGCCCACATGCGCCAAGCATCATCTTCCAACCCAACCCCTCCAAAGGAGGAGCTGAATGTGCGGACCTGGACACCCCTTAATTGATGTGTCTTAGGCCTAAAGGAATAGCTGAACGTTTCGCCGTGGAGAACCACTTATAGGTAACAGCCAGCAGGTGTGTATGCGGTAGCTGCAGTCGCAGACACAAGATATTGCTACCCCATTGTGCCTTCCTCTGAAATTGGCTTCTAATATCAGTGGTGAGCGCTCACGAACGGAAAGCTGTAGTTCGTGCTATGCTATTCTGCTAGTTTGAGATCCTGAAACGACAGTGCTAATGATTAATGCGAATAAAAGTAAGATGAGAAAAAGCAGTTCCATGCTTCCGCTCGTGAAATGCAAAAACGCGAAATCGTCCTAATGAGGAGAGGTTTCCTGCTTCACTTATATAACTAGCCATCATATGCTTGCTTACCCTCTGGCCGCAACCAAAATGTTGTCAGACGGCACCGCTTTGACAGTCAAAAGGACTGTTCATGGTAAAGGTTCCACATCTATTGCTTCTCAGCTGCCAGCTCAAGAAAGCTTCCTAGTGAGCATTTACCCTCAGTCCTGAAGGCGCATTTGTTTCACAGGTTTCATTATTCCTCAATTTAGGTATTGCGGCAGCCGCGGATGGCAGGATTTACTGGAGTTGTGGCTGAGACACAGTGGAGAGCCCTCACCCTTAGGCCTAGTGAGCCTTTATCATCAGTCCTGAAGCCACACTTGTCCTTTGAGAGTATCTGCGTCGTCAGAAATACTCAGCTCGTATAAATAACGCCAAGCGGATGCGACCTGGTTGAACCGTACAGCCAGCAACATTCCAGCCACCGAGTACCTATTATTTTCTGCCTTGTAAATACCAAACGTTATTTTTGCAGTTTTCCCGAAAGTCTTTACGATTCACGTTTTTCTGGCGTGCCAGTTTGCTGTTAGGGTTGGCCTTTGGAGAAGACGCGTAGCTCCAGATTAAGCAAGTTTCCTCCTGCTCTTTTCGGATGGAAGTAAAAATTTCTCCGGTAGTATTGGTGATGACACGTGTTCAGGCAAGGAAATCACTCCCTACTAGCTGGCTGCGTCACCGTGCCTAGGGACATGGGTTGGTTCCGGTCCCACGCATGCATCCAACTCCAATTCCTTAGATGCACGCATGCATGCCTGCGCCGGCCCGGTCTTACCCTCCCACATGTATGGGGGTATGGTGCCTGTGTTAGTACCCAGACATTTGTACACTTCTCCAAGCAAGGGTGCGTCCGTGTATCTAAACGCACGTGTACAACCTATAACTAGACTGTGTATGAGCGTCAACTTTGTTTAGCACTGAACCATGCAGCGAGGATACTGCAGACTCACGAAAAGCAAGGCCTGCAAAGAGAACAAAACAGAGAAGCAGGTTCGTACAAGCAAACAGGCGCAAGAACGCACAAAAACACGAGGTGTGTTAGCAAGTGTTTGGAGTATAGATTGACGGGTTGCTGCGGTGACGGCTGTCGGATGATGGGTCAGACAAATTGATCAAGCCGAAAGTATATAGAAAACACCAAATACAGCCGTGTACTCTTCGCATGTACTATAGAGTATGCTGTTTAGGGTCCCTGCGTACGGGAGTTACTTCACTAAACACGCAGAGTTCGAGATATGGTTTCTCGAGGCTCTGTTGCCAAAGCGGGTTTGAATTTGTGCTGTTCCGCTGGGACCTTGGATAGGTTTGTTAGCAGAATATTGCTAGCGGCAAAAGGCATCCGCGATGTATAAAAATCGCGTTGCTCTTTACGGACTATGGACGCGCTTTGGGTCCAACATTGTAGAGAATACATCTCAAATCGCAAATATCGATAAGTACATTTGCTACCCCTAAAACACACGCGTCTGTGCATGCAGCTAACTTTCGAAGACGCAGATGGTGTCAAGAAATATCACTAATATATCTTAAACCATTCTTTAATGGAATTCAGGACTTCTTCGTTTCCGGGCTCTATGACGAGGTAGTGTCCTCGTTCTCCCTCCAGGATCTGCAGCTCACGTTCAGTAATTTGGGTGGCGGACTCGTTTATAAAGCGCATGCTACCCTGAAACAACAACAACCATAGCAAGGAGTAGAAGTGGTGGAGAATAGTTATGGCAATAGGGATGGACTGAATATATTTCACGCAAAGTACGAGCTAAACGAGCTACCAACCCTCCTCACCGCAGGGGGCAACTACGCCAACTAACAGCATGGCTGCTGCTGCTAAACTCGGTGCTCTGCGCAAGCTGCTGCAACTGTGTCGCTGCAAGTCCTAGGTATTGACCTGTGGCTCTACAATAGAATCTTCTCTTGCATGAATGATTTTGAGGCGAATATGACTAGGGATAGACTTGGCTTCCGCGTGCACACGAGGGACTGCAGCCAGCACCTCAGCTCCCATTCGGCAAGGGATCTTCAAAGGGCAGGTCACCAAGGGGTCCTGCACGATACACAGAATACACAACAGATACGCACAGAGCGGCTAGCCACGTGGCTAGCTGGTCCTCCTGTGGGTTTTAGCTAGCGCAGAAGCAGCTAGCTAGCCAGCCTGTACAACGAAGCGCAGGAAACTTGCCAGCTGCTAGCCGGCGTTGCAAAGGCTGTGTGGCTGGCTGCTCGGGAGAATTCTGGGTGAGTTGTGATATCATCCTGCATGTGTGGAGGCGGACATTGTAGAGACAGAATCCGCATTGTCAATTATCTGCTGCTGCTGCGTTGCTGCTGTTGCTCCTGCGTGCTGTAGTAGTCGTTTAAGTCATGTCCCTACCTCGTCTTTCTGCACATCGACCCAGCGAAGGCGTGCAGGGGGAACCTTAACGGCGCCAAGGTGTGGAAGGACCTTCGAGAGGACTCCGCTTAGTTTAGCTACTGTTTTGTTAAAAACGCCAGAGGTTGCCTTCTCTATGGCCAGCATCGGTGCCAAAGCCACACAAGCCACGATATGAGCACGTTCAGAAGCTGCAACCGCATCTGCTGCAGCCCCATCTCCTGCAGCCCCATTTGCTCCAGCACCTTCTGGTTCAGCATTATCTGCAGCGGCAGAACGACCATTAGCAGCAGGAGCGCCAGACGGCACAAGAAGCCAGTGCTTTCTCTCACCCATGAGCTCAAGTGCTCGTATGACGGAAAAGCCACCCATAGAAATACCTACGAGGCAGATGGGGGGAAGCGCCTGATTGTCACCACTATCTCCGCGTTTGTTTTGCTTTGCTAAGTCTTCAGCAACGAATTCGGAGAAACTGATTACATCAAAACCGAGGTCGTCCAGGCGTTCAACGCTGCAGCGACGGCCCTTCCATCCCTCGGAGAGCCCAAAACTCTCAAGGTCCCCCGCATACACAGAACAACCCGCCTTGTTCAGCTGTTGGAACCAGCTGCCTTCGTATATACACCAACGAACGTACTGGTCTTCGCCTTCTTTAGCCCCCTCTGACTCTTTTGCTGCCCGTGCAGTACCTGCTTTTGCTGTTTCCGCTGCTGTGTTTGCTGGTGCGCTCGTTCCCGCTGCCGTTGCAGGCAGCACGACGTCCGGCTCGTCTGGAGAGAGGTGTCTGAGGAACTCAAACCTGGCATGTGTTTGCACACCGTGAATAAATAGCACTGCTGCTTTGGGCTGTGGCACTCGCCATGCATAGATAGTGAGTTTTAGGCCTTTGGGGTTTACAACGGTGGCTGTTTCGGGGTTCCCATCCAAAGGATACAAGATCTCCCCTGGAGATGGTAGTCTTGGCTTTTGTTTTCTTGCCATTATTGTTGGTTAATTGTGTGCTTCTCCTGCTTCGATCCTTGCAAATTGTCTGGTGCTCCTTTATTTTGGCTTGTGGATTTTGACCTGCTTGTCAATTCATGCGGCGACTAGTCGTTAGGCCTGCAGGAGAAAAGGCAGAGATGCCAGTATAAGTATTTCTGCTTGAAGCACAGGCAGGTAGATGTGAGCGGTGTCTAGACGTCGAAGGAGACCGGCAGCAGTGGCTCCCCCCAAGCAACCCCTGCGCGGCACACCCTAAAAAACTTAAAGCTCAATCCACACCTGTAGAGGATGATGCAGGTAGTTCAAAGTTCCTAAAAGGAATTCGTATGCAGAAATTGTTTTCACGTTCTGTCTCCTGAGGCAACAGCGCCACCGCCGCCAGTGGACGTTTGCCACTGAACGACAGGGAGCTCGAGTGGTGGCCGCGTGGATGCCCCCCAAAACTCAAAACAGCCAAGTTCAAAACACACAGACACGTTCGAGTGTGTTCGAAATTAAGTTATTTCCTGTGTATGCACGTATATTTACGAGCTTACGTGCTCTACAGACGCACAGGGAGCCGATAATTGGGGCTGCCTGTGGCGGTGGCGTGTAGAGCTTGGAGGAAAAGCGACACTTTTACATGTCACCAAAGTACCATAACACCTCAATTCGCATACTTCGGGCGTTTGAAGGTGATTCAATGAAGGCTTCAAGAAGGTTGTTGTGCATAACGCAGCGGGCGCTGGTAGGACTAGCATCTCAGACGGGACCGCGCTCCCGAGTAGCAGCTAGATGCTGTAGGAGAAAGTTCCCGCGTTCCAAAAATTGTTATCGCACTCGTGTGCATGAAATTAAATCTTTTGAAGCACACGGACCATATTTATGACATTTAGTCCTCCCTAATACACGTTTCAAAATGTACACCGGGCGATCGCTCGCCCTGCCGGCCCACTGTGGTTTGCATATCTTGACTGGTCAGTAATTCACAGCCACGTATACCAATGCAGTACTCATAAACGAATACACTATCCATTTACAAGGCTTCACCACCAGTTTCCCTGGGGGTAGTAAGCAGCATAAAGGAACAGTGCATGTGTCTGTCGGCGGCAACTACTCCGCACTGCACAGAGAACGAAATGCACCCTTAAACATAAGCCGTACACCGCCCAAAACCGTCCAAATCCAGCCCCAAACCACTGGCATTCGAAAGCTTCCCAAGGCTTTTCTCGGTCCAAAAGCCTTATCAATCAACAGCCACAAATGGTGCAGCAGCTTAGTGGCGAGAAGGCAGCAAACTGAAATTCATGTGGATGGTTAACTCACAAAGTACGCACACTCGCATGTTTGCGATATAATAAATCGTAGGCTCCAACCGATCCGAAATGTCACACTACTATCAAACCTTATGATAAGTCTTATCCTAAACTGGCATCATCAGCCCTCTATAAATCCTACTAAATACAGCAGCAGCCCAAAACGAAACGAAAGCCTGAGTTAACTCGGCGCGCAGAAGACGATTCTTCGCAAAAGCCCGTAAGATTGAGGTACGTGTATCCACAAGTTGAAGACAGGGTGTCTGAAGTTCGAACGAAGAAATTAAGTGTACAATTGTTACGGTTTGTTGCGATAAGCGATTAGGATGCCACTGCGTTTTACTGAAAAAAATGCACCCTAGCGGAGTAGAATATCTTAGTTTTAGAAGACCGGCGAGGTGATCTGGTCGGGCTCAATGGCTCGTCCCAACGACACCTCATCTCCGGAGCCCTCCTGCGCACACCAAAAGGGATACTGAGAAAGTACAGTATTATTAAAGGGGATGGGAAAGGCAATAACCATAACCGAGAATGAAAACTGATAAATGCCAGCATGCTAAATATGGTACGGCAACACGCAGTTACCAACAAATAAGAGGAAAAGGGAAGGTAAAAACTGGAAGCACAGGCGCAAACGGCCGGCATTTTCAAACGGCATGTCTAGTTAGCGTAGAATAATGCCTCACCGATACACTAATCCCGTGCTGTTGTAGCTCCTGCCTCATACCAAAGTGTACCAGGACGCACACAACACCCATGCTGGCTGTGTATATACCTGTAACACACAAGGCTAAAATACATGTATAAATCATGCACATCCAGTCGAACTAAGCTGCCAAGAGCTGAAGCGAGGAGAGGATAAATAGAACCCAGAAAGGCAAGCACGGCCAAAGCCGCTCCAGGTCTACCCACCAACAAGGGCTAGGACGAAAGAACTCCTCCACAAGGACAGAGACAATGATCCTTGAAAAAACACAACGCAACCCGCCGCAGAAAATCATAGCTGAAGGACATGGAAAAAGATCTACCAACGAAGATGGGGGGCCTCTTTCTTGGTTGAGTGGAGTGGCTTATAGTGGTAGCAATAAGCAGTTAAACTATTCGCTACAAAGTAGAGCTTAACCTGTGAGTTGTTAATCTAACGGTAGTTTGCGATGCGCAGCAAACACTAGGAGGCATACGCCGTCAACCGCAGTAAGCCAAACGACAGCAAGTCAGACGCACACAAAAGCCTAGGGCGGCAAAGCCTCACCGTAAAAGATATAGAAGCAGCCCTTGCCTCCTGGAACAGTGAGGAATCGAAACCAGGAAAAAAAGAATGGCCTCATCCTTTCCAAGGGCGGAATATCCTTGGCCTCCACCGCCATCGTCAGTGTCCCGAACAAACTGCAGTCGCAATGGAACAAACATCCCAGTCCTGGAAGCCATATAGAAGGCCCTAGGCCTGTTTCTGAGTGGAGAGCCTCCTCAACTGCGGACAAATGCCCCCTTGAGCAGTTGCATATACGCGCATCGCCTATGTAGACCACGTGATTCCCACTATACTTATTGTGCCAATTTACATGCTGATTACTGTTAATGCGGAAGGCAAGTTAAACGCTAGGGTACACTGCCTGCATAGGACCCCACAGGGATATACGACTAGATTTCATGTATAGACTTAGATTTGCTTACATTAGGTACAGCTGCAGAATGTAGTTTGAAGGCTCTGTAAGAAACGAAAAAATGTTAATGCACGCCAAGCCCGAAGTTAAGACAGTCATTAAGCCGCCTGTAAAGGCATTCCAAACAGCGCACGTGCATCTAAAAAGGCACATATACAATACGCCCTTAGGGGGTACAATAATACGGACGACGTTCTGCCAGGCTCCGACTACGGTGCTGCGTTCTTCCTGTTCGTAATGTCTGTAAATAAGGTGTAGCGGAGAATCCGTGTGTGCATCTTACCAAGGAAACAAAGGAAACGCAAAGGCTTGGGGCCCTCCCCTAAAAATTCTGTCGCTTGCTGCAGCACTTTGCTGCCTCCGCTCAACAGTACTTCTTGGAAACGGCTTGTGGTCCCGCCCCGGCCCCAAGCCCCCTCCTCCCCTGTGTAACGCAGCACAACAATGTTGGTGTGTTCTTAGTATTACCAAGTCACGTCGTTGCTGTCCTCGTAACAAAGAGTATGTGAAATATTGCCACAGTCTGAAGAGGGCAGTAGTTGTTGCCGTTCATACGGTCATGTGGTTGGTTCTCTGCAGCTGAAAATGTCACCGTCGCATCTGAGTACAGCTCACCCATGATGAAAGTTGGAAACAGAAAAAAGAGCGCAACACACGTTCCCTGTCTGCTCCTCAGAGGCCGCTGGTCACAGCAACAGCGGCAGCACCTGCACCCATGTGTGGGAAACAATACTTTTGCAACGCCACAAGAGTTTTAAAATTCCACTTTTAAAGCCTTTCAAATGCTTGCAACACATTAAACTTAATTTCTGCACACAACGGAAGATGTCTTGAGGATGTGCTTGATGAAGCAAGACTGAAGAAACAAGACCAAAGGGCCGACGCCGTAACAATGGCTGCAGCCGATCGTCCTCAGCACAACAGCGCATCCGTCTAGTTCAAAAGCCTAGGTAACGCAGTATTAATTATTTTATTTACCAGGAAGGCAACGGTTCCGGTGAGGAAAATATAGTAGTTTTCCCCAACTGTGCTTCGTGAGGTGGGGTTCCGTTTACGGCATGGTATGTCTCACGTTGGCACGTACTTGCGTTTATAGTTGTGTGGCGGGTGGCGACTGAGGCCCAAGTAAGTGTTCAACAATCATCTGCAGTCTTCGTTCATGCAGCAAATTGAGTTTGGCCATGTTTTCAGGTGGAGTCCCACGGGGAAACATGGCCGTTCACCACGAGTTGCATTAAGGTGTGATGCAACCTATACCACGTGGCCTGCTCTCCGTAACAGGCACCCACCTGCAGCCCTTAAGTCGTTGTGTCCAGGGTAGATTCACATGCAGGACATGTCACCTGTTCTGGGGGATATCTTAGGTTTTCTGACTCCAGTGCAGTTCACGAGGGTCCTCGGATTTGCTCGAGGGACCGCACTACGTAAGATGCTCTCGGCTATGCTCGAGGAACCTCGCTATGTAACATGCCCAGTGTAAAGTTGGGACGTGTCTCTTTACTTGTGCGCAAGCGGGTTATGGAAGGCCATGTAGTTCTTACAGTGTTATTGCATGCGCCAAGGGGGGCCTGGCGGTACATACGTGCAGCACGAGTCCCAACAAGGTCTTTTGTGACTAATGTGAAGCCTCTGCATTTCCCCCAGCATGAGGCATTAGGGGCGCCAGACTCCCGCCACGTGGGGACTGGATAAGACGTCATATGCTTTGCGAGGACTATTATTGCTGCAGGTCGCGACGGTCCTCGACCGAGGGCTCTCATTACAGCTGTGGTAGAAGAAGCGTGGAATCGGCAAACTACACGATCACGTTTCGTTTCATAGCGAGCTTTTCTGCAAGAAGTACAACTATGCTTTAACGGGACAGCGTGGAGTCAACGCAACACGATGCAGGTGGCAGAATATTTCTGGTGGCTTAGGATATTCTCCTCAGCCGAGGAATGTCCTCTCAATTGAGACGAATCTCAGCATCTAAAGCCAAGAAACACCTTCACATCCAGACTACCGCAGAGTCTCCCGCCGTTTATACAAAACTAGAAGGATATATCGATGGGTTGCAGTGGGTTTACCACCGTCCGTCGCTGTGAGAGTCATAATGTTGTTGTGGATAGGCTCGGCAAACTTGCTCACCTTAAGCTGTGAGAGCGTCCCCTTCAGAAGGCCAGACTTCGGGCAGTTTGGGGCCTTAGGGGTCATAGGGCCGTCGGAACTTGATCCCACTCTCCTCAGTGAATGCAACAGTCAATGACCGCTGCTCTGCGTCTTTTGCCCCCAACGATAACACAAACGCATATTAAAAAAACACAGTTGTGAGACATACTAGGGATCCAAGTTCCCTTACACGATGGGGTGTTGTGAATCCATAACACTAGAGATGCTGGCGGCCCAGTAAGCTGATGATGTGTGGGGAGAGCCCTCAGTCCCTCTAATGCTATGCTGGGATCTGCTCAAGATAACTTATGGTATTTCCCTTTAATAAAAAGATTTGCCGTTAGCCTCACGTATTACTAGGTTGTATCTCTGAAGAACTACTGTGGGGCACATCCATAGAACCCCACAGCTGACCATAGCAAGCTGGCAGGCAATGACTATCATACTGAAACAACAACATATCAAACTAACAAAGGTTAAAGGAAATTAGTTCTCTCAGTTTATTCTTTAAAACTGTTCTCCTTCGTAACCCCACTAGAGCAGGCAATGCGGCCTTTGGTGCTGGGAGAGGGGACGGCATAGCATGTTGCAAAACCTTTTGCACCAAGGCTCATGCCAGCCTCTCCTATAGTCATACCAGTGGTCACTTCATAAAGAATGTAATGAATTCACTAATGTTATACTCAATATACATCAGTAAGCACTCACAGACACATTCACTGTTCATACAGCCCTGACTCACTTCACAACGAGCACGACATTGCTGCTGTCATTGTAGTGACTTTCACTACACTTTCGCTGTTGTGCCTAGGACTTCTGCAGACTCTCAAAGTGGTCGCACACTTTGGAGGAGTTCTCTGCGGGTATTTTGGGCCAGTTTCAGCTGACGGCTATTCTCGGTTAAGTTCGGTAATTCTTGTTCTAATCACATAGCTCGTGATATCGCTTCAGTCTTACGAATGTGGTTGGAGATTTCCTGAGCCTAAATACCTGCCTCTTCGAAGGACATAACGAGAGCCTGAAGCTCCACCATAGGAGGTTCATGCGCGCAAATAATGTAAAAGTCCTCAGGCTTAGCTGCTACCCTCACCTCGTGCACGTATTCAGTTCTTCTCACTCCAGCACAACTGCGGCACCCGTTTCTGCAACTACTCCAGCGTTCGCAGCGACGCACACAAACTCCGCCAGCCGCATAGCGAATGCGTAGGTGAAGTCACCAGTCGATCAACAATTCCCCAATTAAAGGAATATGTGCTGTTTTATGGGGCTCCCGGTAGATGCGAAAGAGCCGCATGCAGCATCGCGTCTAAAAAAACTTTCTCAAGGAAAATCCCCCTACAGAGACAGGGCTGCAACAGAGTTGCAAGCATACAGGGAGCCTCCCTCAGATTTGAGCTCGCCATAGAATGCCATATCGCAGCCCCCCATGGGCTCGCAGCCTGGCACACTGGCTTCTCAGCGTTCCGTTACAACTGCAGGTACGCAACTCCTTCCACCCAAACAGCTCAGGACTCCGAATGTTGGCGTGAGGGGTACATGTTAGTCACAGGAGTCTCCCCTGTGGTGTGCCTTCTCAGTTGTGGAGCTGTGGGCTTGTAGTGCTGTGTGTAGCTGGGCGCTCCCGATATACGTTCGCCGCAGTACCCTGTAACTGTGGCACGGTTCCTTTGCGCTCGTGGAACAATTTGCTGCTCAGGTCGCTGGCGTTGCTGCTGCTGCTGTTTTCCTTCCTGCTGCTCGAAAGTGGTAATCTGTTGTCTCTGGAATCCTTCTTCAATAACCTTGGTGTAGGACTTTATGCCATCTAGCAAGTTGTCTCCTCCTACACAAGCAACACGCGATTGCAGGCTGCATTTTGGGGTATTCAGAATGTTTTGGGCGCACGTCTACTCGGAAATGTCGAGCATTATGCACCTTTAAATGCTTTACCTTGTAGGTCCTTGACCTCCTTTTTCTTCTTTTGCTGTCTTGACACGGGTGTCACGGGACGTTGCTTGACGCTTGCCTGTTTTTGCGCCGTCGTCAATCCGCACGATTTCTCGCGGACTTTTGCGGGGGATGAACGTTTTTTATGTGATCGTTTCGCAACTGAAACAACCGTCCAAAGCGAATCAGAGCTGTTCTGTAGCTCTTTCTGATCATCTGTTGTCAATGAACCTATACAGAACTCCGACACTCTCTGATCAAGTTCTTCTTCATGCGCCGTTTCCTGTGTTCAAAAATATGTTGCCTCAGAACATCTTTGGCTTGGATGGGCTCTTTAGGAGTATTTTTCTGTTTTGTAGTGTTCAGCACAGGTCAGTGGACGAGAAGTGTTGATGTCTAGGAAGTCTATTCGCTTTTTGTTAAGCTACATTCACAATTCTGTAGAATGATACCTACCTCCTGGTTCCCACTTTCCGCAATGTTGTGACATTGACGAGAATATGTGTTTTCATTTTCCCCTGTGCAGCATTCCTTCTCCAATGCAGTTTTCTCGTCGATGGAGGTTTCCTCCTGATATTTACCTGGCTGGACTAAACAATCAAGTACTTTCTTCGATGGTGTAGCGCTGATTCCTTTGATGCCGTTAGACGAATAGAGGCTAGTGGAAGAAGCACACCTACGAACCATAGGAGGCCCTTGTAACTCTGAGTACATGTAATGATGCCGCCTGTCTTGCTGCGTGAGCGCACGTATCCTCTGATCGGAATTCCGAAAGGCGCCGACCATTTCGTACAGCTTGGTGCGGCTGGTTCTGAGATGCAGTTTACACTCCAATGTGGAAGAATTTGCCGCATAGACCCCATGCAAAAATGTGGAAATTTTGCTGTCACTACGGGTTGCTTTGTCATAGCAGGCTATTAAAGGATTTCAACAGCGGGGCACTAAGTAGCCCCATTGTGAGACTGTACTCACGAGTGAAGTTTGTTGCGCATCGTTGACAGAGGACCGACACTCTGCCTTTGTGGTTCCTGTGGCAACCGCGGGAGAGTTCCTGCATTTCAGAGAATTGTTTGTGCACCAGCATTGCCTAAAAAGCTTCGACTGAATCACGTCCATTTAAGTACATGAGAAACATTGTCAGGTTCTATCGGGTGGATACCCACTGCCGCAAAGTGACACAGGAAATCGTCGCATTTAAACTTCTCCGTCCGCTGCATCTTTGCTCATTCTGCAGTATACGGTGGTAAAGTGTGTAAGAAGATGAACAGACACACCTGGGCAGTTCCAGTTACTAATGGGATCGAATGCTTTAGGATCTAGGCGATTGAGAAGCTCCTGCTGCTCCGTCTGCAGACGTAGCAACTTGTGCTGTAGATCTTCTTCTTGGAGTGCTGGTTCCCCTGCCGCCGGCGGGCCTTCGTGTTTTAGCTGCAGGAACGATGGCTGTTTGTAGACTTTATCTTGCAGATTTTTTACTTCCGACTCTATCTGTTGTGTACACTCTCTAAGATCCAATGGTGTACACAGGGTATGAAAACATTCGGCTGTAGACGCTGGCGGCTTAGGACAGTTGGCCTGGTACTTTTCCAGCTGAACAGCATGCGCACGAATATCTGGTTTTCCTCTGTTTGAATCTCCCATTTACGATGAAATCTTCACGTTTCCTTCTAGGACTGCTGGCTCAATATTCATGATAAACATAGATAACTGCAAAATATTTTTAGTTCTAGCGGCGCATACGCGTTCTTCAGTGGCATCCATCCCCTCTGCATCATAGGCAATCCAGAAAAGAAACTCACTTTTTTTTGAAGCTGCTGCGTAAGTGGATGGGCGTCGATCGCAGGAAACCTGAAGCCATCATCTTCCTTAGGCCAGATTACGATCGCTTGGGAATTTTCAGAGCACTGTACAATGCAAAATTTAGTATTTTTCACTCCGAACATACCTAGAAAAATATCCTTGTGGATCGAAGAGCTGAGCAAACAAAGCGTTGATACGGTCTGCGAGCTCCAGCTGAAGCGCTTTTTGACCTAGTAGCTTTGGCAAGTGTTGCCTTAGAGCCCAAGCCACTGACTCCTTTACGGCCAGAACCGAAAGTGGACAAATGAGGGAAATTCCAAAAGGTCCAAAGGCGTTCTGCAGATAACCCGAGTTACACCTGACACTCTCGAACTTCTAGCCATTCTCCATTGTGGTAAATTGCATTGAACAATCACTGTCCTAGTTTCAGGAGCTAACAGCTGTAGCCCTTGCAACAGTGTGCTTGGCCGACACACTTTTATTTTCCCGATGAGGTCTTGGTACGCAGCCTCAGCTGCTGCCAGCACCTTTAACCTTTTCCTGCATGTATTAAGAGGAACAAGGAGCTCTTCGCAGCTTTCTACTGCATGCGCTTCTCCACTCGGCTCTGTTTCTGACGGATGTTCAAGTACGCCATATCTCCTGAGTAGTCGAGTAGAACTTCCAAATATTAAGCTGCCTCCACTGCCTTCTGCACCCCGAAGGCGCATTAATTCCTCTTTTAAAATACTTTCCGGGGAGTTGGGGTCCACCTGAGTGGGCGGGTGAGGCTCTTCCGCCGTGAAAGGTGTTTTTTCCTTCCTCGCTTGTTCTTGGCCTTTATTCCAGCAAGTTTCTTCAGATGACCCGGAACGGTCTTTCAGCGTAGCTGCTTTGGCTGCGCCAAGAAGAACAGTTTGACTGCCCGGAAAATTTGGAGAATGACCGTCAGTTTCTTGGCACTCGACGCACTCGTTTGTGCTGTGGGCCCTATCGTCTTCATTTCCTTCCGACGCATCACGCTGGGTTTGGCCAAACGCGACCCAGTGCACGAGGTGACAAAATGTAAATGCAAAGCTGGCTATAGATTTGGAAGACAGGAGAACCTGGATCTCAGCCAGCTGTGCTGGACTAAGGGGACGGTGTGTCAGGAGATCCAAAGGCAAACGCTCCCCAATTACCGACACTATGCGGCCCCTCATGATTGTTGGTGAAATCTGCTCGTACCATAGTCATACCATAGAGTTCTTGTATCTCAGAGACAGGAATCTCTTCCTTAAGCAATGTCATCGTATTCCATTCTGCTCGAACATACCGTAAGAGGCCTTGTAGACTCCGTATAATTTTTATAGGCTATCGGCATTAGGAAATCTGCCCCTCTTAGAGAAGACCAATGAACAACCCTCCATTCACCCTGATCATGCGTTCACACGGCGGCACGGCACGGCAACGTAACGCAGAACAGTCATTGTGAGAAGGCGTATTGCCGGAACTCCAGCTCTATCCGCCTCTGTGGCATTATCGACCTCTGGAGCCATGATGNTGTTTGCGCACCAAGTGGAATTTCAGCATTACGAAAACAAATGTGTAGACAATCAGGCGTCTGAGGTCAGTAACCTACTAACGGCTGTCTTCTAAATGCTGCGTATGGAAGAATGAAACTATTCCGAAGTTCCCCAAGCAGTGCCTCCTGCTCTGCAGGGCTCCAAGCCGCTGCACAAGCCAGAATAATACGCATCCGTCAAGATGGCTTATTGAAGTGCGAGAATTGCCTGTTTCGAACCGATGCATTAAGTGCCTGCGCTTCTTACTGGAATAGGATCGCGGCGATCGGTGCCATCTTTTCCTAGCTGGAACCCTCAGCGACAACAATTCCCTGCTCATTGGCGGGGCGCAAGTGGCTCTTGCTGCGCTGCTGGTTGCTAATCCTTGTAGCACTTCTGGGTGATCAGACCGCGTGTTTCTGCAGCCCTTTCGCCCGTCTTGATATGCAGCGGGAAATGCAGAGTGCGTCTTAGCCATCGACCCTTTCTGTCTGTGGCCAGCACTGATATCTGACTCTTCGCTGGGGATGAGTACAGCAGCTGTGATACGCAGAATACGTTGGTACAGGCCGCGATCCCATGAATATGGCGCATTTAATATATGCAGTCTCCTAGTTCATTTCTTCAGAATACTACAGCACTTGAGGTGTGAACCAAGTGTTTAATTTTGTACAGGCATCAAAACTGAGATCAGTGAGTTGCTACTTGCCACTGCGGGAAAATTTTCTTGAGTTTAGCTGCTTAGACAGAGACAGCAGCATGGACTTCCGCGCTTTTGACGAGAGAGGCCTGCGCCTGCTAGCTTCTCCTGACGCAGCCTCAATAAGGCGGTTGCCTGCGACGGAGAGCCTGGCGTATGCTGGAGCGGCTGCTTGTTGTTGGAATTCACTGTTTTGTTCGGATGGTCTCCTCCAGTGTGTACAACGCTTTTGTGTTTGCGATGCAGGCTGCGAAAATGAGAGCTGTGTGAGTTCTTCAAGCTCAGTTGGATTGGAGCTGAACCGCTGTAGTATTCTAAACAAATTAGTTGAGCGCCTGCAACGGAACGTCAGCACACCACCTATTACTTTAATGCCCCGACAACGGTCTTGACAGAATCGACGAATTTTTCACGAGGCATCTTATTGCTGTGCAGATATGCAAAACAGAAAAGATGGAAGTTGCTCCAATATGTAAATCTACAAAGCTTAAGGCTGAAGTCTAACAGAAAGAGGCATACATATATTCTATTTCTCTAGAATCATGCATTTCTCGCTCGCGTTTTTTGTCTTCATAATCGTCTGAGTGCCTTCGTTTTGGTAACGGGGGCAGCGTAGTATCCTGCATAGGGGAAGTCACACGTGGGTCGTCAGCTGCCTCGCCCTGTGGGGAAGCGGGATGCTAGCAGCGGCAAAACGCATTGTCAAAGCTCAGTGAATTAGGCTGAAGGTTTGACAGTGGCCGAAAAACCCCAAGTCTCCTGAGAGAAGCTGTATATGCCTGCCTACAATTGTTTCATATTCTGTAGGCGTTCCGGTAGCGTCCTTTTGTTCAGGCGCTTCCTCCCGTTTAGAGTAAGGAAAATCAACAATAAGCTCTTGGGCGACGGTTTCCCCTCTGAAATACTCAGCAGCAGGACAACAGCAAAATTAATCAGCAAGCTCAGCCGGATGAGAGCGGAGGTTGCCACACCTGATAACTTGGCAATGCAATAATTTGCAGATATTGAGCGGCTGAGCTAGCCTGCGCGAATTAGTAGGTCGGCATATAACGCGTTCTAACTTATCCACCTCTCGAAAAAACGGGGGTTCGTCTGTAGCAGGACACTGAAACATGACGTACCCTCCTGGCGACCAAGAAACAGAGATGTGGCACTTCCAAAGCTTGAGGTTTTTCCGCAAAATTTCCCTGTTATTCCTATGTATGAACACAACAAGGTTTACTAGAGGTTGATAGGACGTACTATAGGGGTACTCCTAATATGCAACATGCAACTCGGCTTGGAATGCAAAATTAGAAGAACAAACCCTCTTCGAAACGTCGATTTCCCATTGCTAGGTAACACCGTTATATGCCGGCCTACAACTGTATTCGAAGTTTCATCTCATGGAAGCTTTGCAGCTCCAAGTTCACCTTTTCCCCTCGGGATGGTAAATAAGCATGTGCTAGCAGCAGTGGCGTACCTTGTGGCGATCATTCCAAGCTTCTCCAGATATGCTTCGTGCACGTCATCTATGACATTTTGCAGAAGCTGCTGCTTTTCCGCTTTCCCGCTGTGTAACTGCAAGCAACAAGCGCCTAATCAGCTAAGCGTGCTTCCACGAATTCGTTATATCGATACTAACCATATGACATAGCAAGAGGAAGAAGACTGAAGTTCGTTGACTCAGATATCAGTACAAAGGATGCGCTAAGGCTCTCCCAAATTAATACTAGAACTTTCCAGCACTCGCTATGTATTGACTCAGCCGCACTACCCTCTCCGATACCGACAGTCTCAATGAACAATTGGTGAACGGCTTAAAGTAAGAACCACCGCAACACTACAGCTGAGCCGGAGTATGCAAATTCGCCGGCTTGACTGCTGCAGTAGTTGCATTCCGACAGTGTACGAAGAGGCCTCGCGTCTAGATATATGTTCATTGCCAGAACCAATGTGCGAATACAAATTCTAGTGAAAGAAGATTAGTTAGTTCGTGGAGCGCAGTTGGGAGGGTCCTTTGCCTGTCATCGACGTTTGCAGTGCATTTCGGGGAGTCATTGAACTATTGGTTGCCTTATCCGTAGAAAGGTTCGGGAGACCATAATTCCCGCTCACTGCTGCAGAGGGGTACCTTATCGGCACTGCAAGAGACCTAATGTCTACTTCTTCTGGTTTAAAATGCCTCGTGCAGCAACTTGACGGCCTGGCCGTCGGCGATAGGGCAGCCTCCATTCTGTCGCCTGCAGGAATCCCACCCATAGCCAGTGTATAATCTCGTCAGTACTGTCAGGTTGGATTCCTGATTTTCCTTTAACGGCGTGACTACACATGATTTTGAGCCTTAATTCGGGTAGCTTCATCTGGCGCAGGGCGACACCCACAAGTTCCCTGTTGAGTTGCTGTGCACAAAATCAATGAGCACCATATCCTACTCTAGCTCCTAGAGGAGTAACGCCAGCTTCTTGCCCCGAAGGGAAGGATCATAGCTTCTCCTGGCCCACAGTTATGGAAATCTATATGGCTCAGCAATTGTGAACTATATTCTTTCAGCTGAATTGTCAAAAAAACGAACGAAATATCTTTTTTGTACATGAAGAGAGCCAAAACTTTAGCTGTATTTGGCGGTCGCGTGACCCTGTGAGCAGCTCCAAGAACGGGCTTGGACAGCATGCAAGGCCGACCCCTGGCTGCTCCATGCAGGGCTGTGCTCGCAGTCTTATTCCTCATGCAGCATGTATGAATGCCTGCCATGTTTCTTGTATAAAGCCTTAAAACTGCCTGATTTCCAAAGTAAGTCGTGACGGGTGCAGATGGTGCGGCGGATGCGCGAGTATGCTGGTAATGATCATCGCGGCGCAAGGCATGAGTCCTCTGGCAGCCCAATACACCTAAAGTAATGCACACACCTTTATGGCTTTCACGATTCCAGAATGCTACCGACCGAGTCAGAATTTAGGTAAAATCTGATACTAAAATAAATGCAACATTTCTATATGAAAATTCCCCATATTTTCTGGGCTCAGTCCAACGTGCAAGCAGCGACGCTGTAAGAACTCACATGCGACAATTGCCGCACGACGCAAATCTTTACGGTTCAAGAATGAATACTAGATTTCCGTGAACGTGTAGGCGTCACGCGTAATGTTGAAGCGAATATGCGAGTGACCTGATGGCGACCGCACGTTCATACAACATCGACGGTGGAGAGAAAATCCGTTGGGCTTCCTTCGCGAGGGAACAGTTCCACCACTTTAACGTTAAAGCTGCTTGTATTCGGGCGTGAACAGGTTCGGTCGAGTTAATCGGTAACGCTAGACCTTTGGTTAGTTCTGGCCTAGGCTCAGCGATGATTCGGCTACTTGCCCAGTAGAGGAGACAAGATACACGCTGATCAACGAAAGTTTTTTTTCGTTGCCTCCTACCACAATCGGCTCTTTGTAAATCCAAGCGTAACCGTTTTCTTAGCGGAATAGTGAAATCCTTGGATGTTAGCCGATGGACAGCCTCACAGTGTAACGAGTCGGGCACATTGATGTAACTCTGCACCATCGTGGCCATAGTGTAACAAATATTTGTGATTTCTGCCGTCGCCGTGGGTCCGTTGGCTTAACAGCACGGTCGTAAAATCGGGCAGCACAGCAGATGCCGGAGGGAGGAAAGTAGCCAGCAGAACCTCTGGAAACTCAGCGCTAAGATTCCGAACATGTAGGGCGAAGACCGCCGTAGGGGGTCACCAACCAGAACTTCAGTCTAGTAATTTTGCCTTGCTTCGCAAATTTATGCAATAGCATTTTTTTAGAACCCGGCTTCAGTTCGTCGGGTATGAAATTAGGTGTGATATAGCACTAAGGCTCGAGGAATCGTTGGCCCGTGGGTGATCGCTTTCTGAACACCGGAGTAAATCACGGCCAGACAACTAGTAAGCTACGTCTCTACGCCAAACGTGTATGGTTTAGTTCGCGAACCCTGCAGAAAA